AGAGATATATTTTTAAAATTATTTTAATTTTTCATAAAGACAACAGCCAGTGGACATCCTGTTGGAGGTGTTGAACAAACCCTCAGTTCGGCCCAATCTTCTGGAAATGAAGCCAACATGACTTGCCCCGCTTTTTTGACTGCCGTCAATCAAACAATCAAAAACCATCCCGATTGGAAAGCCTGGCTCGACCAGGCGAGACACAACGAGACCCAATTTATTGAAAATTGTCAAAAGGAAGGGGGAAATACTGGAGAGGTTTTTCTGGACTTTTTTTAGATTTAAAAAATATATAAATTAAGGTTCAATCCTTCCTTGACCATCAAAAGGGTTTGCTTGGCTGTCCCGAAGCTCATAGCCGAATGACGGTGAATTTTTCCGTTGTAATAATTAAATTTTAATTTAATTTTTAGATTATTGCTATTATCTTCATTGTGGCATTCATTATTTCAGTTGTCGCTTTGGCTGTGGTTTCGGTCCTTTATTATCGGAAATAAAAATTGAATAATAATTTTTTTGTAAATAAATTTATAACCTTTTTAATTAATATTAACCATTCTTAATAATTAAATATATTCAAATTTAAAGTTTTTGTTATTTAATTAACATTTTTATATAGTTTTTATTATTCTGCTAATTGTGGTATCTTTATTAGAATATTTTGAACCAAAGTAATTGAGTAAAGTCAACATTTCTAAAGTAATTTTAATCGAAATTTAAATTATATCACAATTAACTTTAATTTACAAAATAATCTTTTAACCTCCTATGTATCATTTTTAATTTTTTATTCTAAATTTCGAAATAATAATTATTTTAATAATAATTTTATCTTTTATTTTATAAAGGAAGTAAATAGATAATTTTAAATTTTACGAGACAAATTAAACTTTTAAATAAATTAATCAACATTTAATTTTTAAATTAGAAAAAAATTTTATTACGCACAGCGCACTATTAAATTTAATTACATAATAGGACATACCTACCATTCATTACATAATAAACCTCTTATTATTAAACCGGACTGGGAGGATCGTACTAGAATCGATCCCGAACAATAGATTTCGATAACCAAGACTTTTGTTTGAGAATTTGATTTATAATCATTAAAATCAAAGGGTCTGGTGATGGGGTTGCATAGTTGTGAGAATAAAAGAATTAATTGTCCGTAAAATCCTATTTCCTTTCCTTTTCTTTCAAAATTTGTAAGATTTTCTTGTATGAAATTAAATTAACTTAAAAAAAGTTAACAATGATTAAAATTTAAATGATTGCGTATTTGACTAAAATTTATATTTAATTTTCCCCCCATTTTTCATTCTTTTGTTTTAAATAATTGAAAAGAACAAAAATTGTATTTTCTTCAAAAATTTCATTTTCCAATGCTCGGCTTTATTTAATTTCCGTTAGCCCATTTCAAACAAAATAAAAATGTTGCTCTCATCAAATAAAATTTTCAAGACTGCATATCATTAACTTTGAAAAGAAGAGAAAAGATTTCAAATTTTTTTAAAAAGTGTTTTAGACCTTAATCATATTTGGCATTTTTCTCAATTATTTTTATAACTAAATACACAATTTATCTCAACAAACAAACAATACATTTACAAACAATTAAAACAATTTATTTATCGTTAATCACATTATATACACATCAAAACAATTGTTATTTTCCGGATTGTGTAGTGATGGCATATATTTTGTTATTTTTTAGATTTAGATTTGACTCATTTTGGAATTTTGAAAATTTGGGGGTTTTGCTATAATGTTTCTGAAGACTTGACCTTTACGAGTTTTTTGGCCTGAAAAATTAATTTTTAATTAATCAAAATTTATTTTTCAATCAAATTCACCCCCTCCGGCTTTTTTTCTTCCAAAGGTTCAGATTCCCAATCCATTGGAAGATTACTGGTAACTCCACGTGCTTCAAGCAGTTCAATAAATGTCGATTCTAGGCCAACATAATCAGGTCGTTGTTCGTAACTTAAAGTGCGGAGATAGTCCAAAATTGATCTGAATGCAATCGGGCAACACTGAAAAATAGTGAAAGTATACAAAATTATTTCTAACTACTAACATGCATATATTCACTATCATTTAAATGTTCCTTCAACAAAGCAATTTTTTCGCGTGGCTGTTGACCAAACCAAGGAAGAGAGCCGTGAATCAAGTCAACTAACATGTAGATGAGTGACCTTTTTAAATTAAATAAGTTTTGAATAATGAAATGATGTAAATACCAAACATCGTCATGACGGCCAAGTTCAACCCGTTTATGAGCTAAAAATAAAAATTATAATTTGTTAAAACTCTCTTAAAAACACACCATTTAAGCTGCAATAGCCAGGCGTTCCGCGAAAGGGCACATCCATTCTCGCTCTCCTCAAGCTCCTTGTTCCCCTCTTCCTTAATGACCGCGATAACCCAAAATCAATCAGATATACTCTTTTCTGGTTTATTCGGTCAACAGCAAAGTTGCCAGGCTTAATATCGCGGTGCACGTAATATATGCTGTGAAGAAAGGCGATTCCCTAGAAAATAAAAAAAAGTTTAAAGACATTTAAGAATATTTATTTTCTCACTCTAAAAGCCTGCAATCCAATCCGTAAGACAGTCCCAATCGTGAAACTAAATTTGGGACGTTTGTCTTGCATGTCACTTATAGATTTGCCAAGAAGTGCCATGACAAGAATGTGAAACGACCTTTCTTCTACTAAAAAAAGACAATTTAATTTAGTTAAATCTTTAGTCAAAAATCTCACTTTGACATTTTTCAAATGCAATGAATGTTGCAGCGTATTCAGAGAACTGTAACTTTTTGAGAACATGTGCTTCTAACGGTAAAAGTTGATCTCGCTTCCTCAGGTCCGTGCTTTCAGCTTTCATCGCGTACTGTTTTTCACTCTTTGTTTTGACCTTGAATACTACACCGCAACCGCCTGAAATTTTGGGATTTTGGACAAACTTTTAAGCATTAAACGAAACTAACCGGCGCCCAGATACTGATCCACAGTAAATTCCCCAATGATGGTTCCTAGGAAATAATTAAAAATTATTTTTATTTGTTTGTAATCACCAACCTAAAGGAATTTTGAGGAAATCTTCATTCGAGGACGAATGTGCTGCTTTGTTCCCTTCATCCGCAGGTATTGTCGTCTTTGCTCTTCCTTTTGATGGAGGAAGTTCATCATCATTGGAAGAGTTAGTTCCTGTGCCTTCATCAGACTTCTTTTCGCCCTTTGCCGTCAGATCTTCCTTAACTTCCCCACCAAAACTTGACAGCTTTCGGGCCTTTGCCAAGTAGTCCACAGAGCTTGTGATCTTTAACTTCTTTCTTAACTTCCTTTTGCAGCATTGAATACAGGAGAAAGCTGGTAGAAGCAATGAAAGCAGGAAAAGTAGAGTGGCAAGTAAAGCTGAGTCGATGTTGACGAAACCTTGGAGCATTTTAAGTTACGGAGAGGGAGTGGATTTGGGATTTAATTGGGTGATATATCCTTTTATACACTAATATTTGCCTGTTTATCAATTAAATTTAAAATCAATTTCAATTTTTTTCTCTTCAGTTTTGTCCCCATTTCATTTCTCCACTTAACTTATTTTTATTTGCTTTTTACCACTTATTTTGCTCCTATTCTCACCTGAAATTTTTTGATTAGTAGAGTAAAAATAAGTAAAAATTTCAAGTAAGAATGTATGTAGTTAATTATATATTCGCCACAAATCCATCAAATTTACTCTAAAAATTTCTTCCTCCAATATGTTTCTAACATCTTTATTGTAACTCAATTTTTCTTCCATCATAAAGTTACAAATAAATAATTTCCGTGAGAAAAAATAGAAATAATTGACTATACAAAATTGACTTTTTTATTGAGTTTTTAAAATGTTTATTTTTAATTAAGAATTTGAATTTTTTAGGTTTTTCCTTCAACAATTATTTTTAAAATTTCTGTAAATAACTTATTTTTTAAAGAAAATCTTTCGATTTAAATTACTATGTTAAAAAATTTTATTTTTGAACGAATTAAAGTCCGTTAATAATTTAATAATATTTTTTCTTTATAAATTCCCGACTTTTCCCAAGAGAATTTTGATTATCAAAAGAAAGCCATTGATGCCAAAAATAATGAGACAATTTCAAAATTTAAAGCTTTCTTTCCCTCAATTCTCTACCAATTTGCAAATTAAAAAGGAAAAAAGCATTAACTTATTTTAGTATTTATTTTATATATCCCTTCCCTCCCTTTCATTTAATCCAAGACTTGTCCATCTCGATGGCCAATTTGTTCAGGCTATTTAATAGTAAAAGCTCTTCTTCCCTCTTTATAACAAGCCAGCTAACCAACAAATTCTTCTCTCTTTTCCACCCTCATTACTCTTTTTCCTTTACATCATTTGCTCTAATCCATCATCATTATTATTTGTTATTTTTTTACTTTTTTTATTAATTTACTCCTCTACCTAACCATTATTTTAACTCCAAATTTTTTTGCAATATTTCATTTGTGTTGAAAGAAAAAAACTTGAAAACTTTTAGTTGACAACCGCAAAATTATTATAGTTAATAATAAATCTATTATTTGGGAATGACTTGAGTAATTCAGTAGTCTACTAGATTGGAAATAAAATTATATTTTTGTGTGTCACAAAAAAATTTTGTGTTGTTAATAATAAGCAAAAAGTATCGAGGTTTCAAACCTACCTGGAACTACCTAATTATATTGTTATTTTACTAAATTTTGAATAAAAGATAAGTATAATTTATATTATTAATTTCCATAATCCCTCAATTATTTCTCAATAAAAAACAAATTGTTTTTTTTTTATTTTCCTTAACCATCATCTTAATTTTTAGTACTACGACCCAATTTTGCAGAAAAACGTGCAATTTTCATTTCCCCTTCTTCATCGTCCTCGTTTCACTCCAAGGCAATTAACTTCCCTCTCCCTTCCCGGCAATTTGTCTTCCCCCTTCCTACCCCCCCCCCTCCGACAATGTTCAACTTGCAAAATCCTTCTTTTCTTTTTTTTTATTTCACCAAAACATCCACTTTTCTTTACTTGAATACCATTTTACTGCTTCTGGTCGTTGACTTGCGCCTTCGCCTCCAACCCTCATTCCTCTCTTTATCCCATTTTGGCCATTCAAGTATTTTAACTGTTTATGTATGTCAGTCATCAACTTAAATATATAACAATTGGTTGTCATTGTTATTATATAATTATTTTTTCCTTATAATTTTTTGCCTAAAGCATTTAGCTTTCCCTTAAAATGTTGAATTGGTAGTAAAAATGCGCGAAACTTTGAAAGACGATTATTAAATTTGGAAAGCAAAAAAAGGGATTTACATATTTACTAAATAATAAATTTAATATGGTAAAAGTGAACAATTTTCAAAGATCATTTTAATAAATTTTAAAATTAAAACTATACAAATTCCTTTTAAAGCTAATTTTGGGACTGAGAAAATTTTTAAACACAAAGGAAAGGAAAGCGAAAATATTGCGCAGCTTGAAACTTTATTAGCCAGCTGTTGATTTACTAGAATATTTAGTCTGTATTCTAGTACAAAGAAAAATTTTTAGATATTTCACTTTCCAAATATTTAGTAACATTCCTTTAAAAAAGTTTATGCATTATTAATTTTTGTAAAATCTTTATTTTAAATTTGGATTTATTTAATGTAATTATGGAAGTTTATCCGTACATATCTATTATAAAAACAATAAGTCTGAATATCTTATGTTCTCCAAAAATCGGAAAAAAATATCGAAAACCTTATACATATGACAAACTTTTTCCAGTTCTATACAGATTTATTTACCTACTGAAAATGCGATTGCTAAACTGAAACTGATTTAAACTCTACTATAAATATTTATTATTAAATAAAGCAAATACCCTTCTTTGTATTTAATATTCCCACGAGTCATCATACTGGAACCAAACAATGGAATAATGGGTTTCTTGTCCTCTTAATATATTTTTTACTGTTTTTGTTGTCCCTTCAATTTTCTCCCTCAAATAAAAAGCTTTAAATGCTTGCATATTTAATTTTCTTTCATTTTCCTCATTTTCTCTTACCCCCCCCCCCCCCCCCCCCAAACCAATTCCCATCTTAAAATCTCAGCATTGATAGGCGGACATTTTCTTGCTACCAAAAATTTTGTTCACTTAAATAATCTGCCCATTTTAAGCACGAAATGACAATCTTTGCTTTATTTCCTTTATTTTTTTGGTTCATTTATGCTTTCTAAAATATCTCTATTTCCTTCAAAATTAATAAATTATTCAGAATTTTTACCTTATTTTAAATTTTTATTTTCCTCTTTTAACCTTTTTCTCAACCTAATCGTTTCTTCATTTCTTTCTACATAACAAATTTATTTTTAATATTTTTGCATTATTATTTTTTTAAATATTTTGCTATTTATATTTACAATAAAAATCATATTTTCGAAAAAGATAAGCCTTCTTCGTTCGAGTTCAGATATTTGTGATATTCGGTTTGTTTCGCCTAATCCTAGTCTATTTTAAAGAATGTCTCCTGTTTTTTAAGTGTGAAAATACGTTTACATATTTTGAATTAACTTTTTTTGCTAAAAATTATTTGATAACTAAAAATAATTTATTTAAGAAAAACATTTACTCTACCTATTTTATTAACTATAATTCAAAAAAGTTTTTTTGTCTTTCTTTATTCTGGTTTATTTCAGTGAAAGTTCTTTGTCATTAATTGAGCCAATAATTGGACAAATATTTTTATTTTTACTTTTATATACATAAAAGATGAATAAAAAAAGATTAAAATTTTGATTTTATTTTTTTATTTTAAATTAATAAATAACTAAAAAATAATAATTTATTTTTAATGCCAAATTCCACTCCTTATGGTCACTAAATAAATAAATGGACAATTTTTTTGCTTTTTAGGTTTATGGGTTTTAAAATAGAGGAAAGAAAAGCATTCTTCCGGAAAAGAAATGAGTAGGCAACTAGTTTTTTTAGTATAGTTTTTTGGCCATTGGCTATGGGTTAGGACAAAATGGGGAAATTGAGGTGAAATGCAAGGAAAGTATTAGGTTTTTATTAGTTGAATATTCCATTAAAAAATATTTTTTTAATTATAAAATAATTTTAAAAAATTTTGGTCCACACTTATTTGTATATTAATTAATTTTGTTGCCAACTTTACTCCTATTAGATAAAAGTTATTTGGAATGACTGGCATACATATGTAGGAATTTTAAAAATAAATCCTCCAATGATAAGTCCTTCTACATCGTAGTAGTAGTTTTGCAAAAAATTATTTGATCAAAAATTATTTGATAATAATTATATTCCCTCCCCTCCCTCAGGCACAGGTTGAAACAATAATCGCCTTCATAATTACCATTTCTGATAATTATTAATTACCACAGAAATAAGGTGGAACACTAATTACTTTGGGCAATTACTCAAATAAATAATTATTTTCTAAACCGTTTAAATTTTTTGTCTAGAATTTTTGTAACTTATTCTACATATTCTTTTAATTAAAACTTGAATAATCCCATTTTTTCTTTAATTTATTAAAAATATTTTCGCTTCTGCCATTTATATATTTGTTCTTTTTTTCATTCGCCGCTTTTTTATTCGCTTCATACTCTGATCGGATTAGCTCTTTAAGACGAACAGCCTTGGCCCCCTCATTCTTCCACCAACAACTTTTTCCGCATTTGTTCGTTAATGTGGAAAAGAGAGAAAAAGCATTATGTATAATATAGCTTTTAAATCCCCCCTCAATTCCCGCAATTTTGCAAATCTTAATATATTATATTGGCAGACTTGGCTTTTGAAGTCTCCAACAGAAGGAAAAAATATGTAAAAATAGAGGCCAACACAAGAGAGGGTTTAAAACAGGGCTCTCATTCGTACTTTATTTCAGAGTACAGTACTCTAAAATCGACCTCCGTACTCTCAAAATTGAATTTGTACTTTATTGAGAGTATGTACTTTAAAATCAACATTTTGGATTGAAAATGAAATTGGGGAAGGGATTGGGCAAAAAAGTGAATTTTTTTGTCCTTCGACCTTTGAAATTCTCAAAATTTTCGCCTGCGGCGCTGAAAAAGGAAGAAATTTAGATTCTTGGGCTCCAAATTTCAAAAAATTTTCGCCTGCGGCGCTAAAAAATGAAGAAATTTAGCTTCTTGGGCTCCAAAATTCTCAAAATTTTCGCGCGCGGCGCAAAAAATGAAAATTTTTGGCAGGGTGGTCAGCTTTTCCTTTTCTTTATTTTTTCGGCATTCATAATATTTTAATTGAATTCCTCTAAATATATAAATCTTTTTTAACTTTTACTTTTTGTTTTTAATTTTTTTTATTTTTCCCTTCTAACCTATTTTGTTCTTCTCTAAATAAATCCCCATCTGCCTCTCTAAACTTTTTGTATAATATTCATTCAAAAATTAGCTTATTATTTTAATAATCATTTTTAATTAACTTAAAAATTAAATTTTCTAGTTTAAAAATTCCAATTATAATTAATCCAAAATGTTCTTTCAAAATAAATTAACAACATTCATTATTTTTAAAATTCTTGCTTTTTCCTCCATTGGCGATTTTTATTCTTCCCCAACACAATTTTGTGATCAAACAAGTGAATGTTTGCTCAAAATACGTCGAATGGTACAGGACACAAATCGCTTTTGGTTTGGAGACCAATGGCGATATTATTGTGGACAAAATCAAATAAAAGAGAGGCAAAGACATATGAAGGTGAATTTTAAGAGATTTTAATTGCTTTCTCCAAAAATTTTAATTTAAAAAATATTTTAGCAAAAGCTCTAAAATTTCTCTCCTTCAACATAAATAAGCGAGTAAATTTTAAGCTTTTAAGCATTTTCTTAAATAATTATTTATGATTTTGTGAGCAAAACAAAAACAGATGATTCAAAATTCAGTAAAGACCACCAAACATTTTCTCTATTTTTATTCCTAAACACCATCAATCAAATATATTTACCCTCATTTTATGGGATTTGGGAAACTTTTGGGTATTTATCAATGTGTCACCTCATTGAGAGGAAAAGTGAGAAAAGAAAAAGCAAATAATAAATTGAACACAAGAAGAATAATAAGAATTTTTAATTATAGAATACTCTAGATTGTTTAAATCCAACAGAATTGGCACCATTCACTAGCCTCGGAAACCGTCTTTTTCGAGTTCATACATTCACCCTGGATTATTTGGCCAATTTACGAATTTTTCCACAAATGCATTTTCGACCACGTTCAGGTAAATTTTTTATTACCCAACAACTTACATTATTCCATTCATTTTTTATTATTTGAGGTCATTATCGTGCATGTTCTCACAATTTTGAAGTTAACATCACTGAGGATGATCGTATTTTTGGACTTCCAGGTCATCCCCTCGCACGGCCAATTCCCTCATTCCAAGCTCAGTTACCTCCAAATCTTAATTGGCCTGAATTACATGCAAATCAATCATTGGTTATTTTAATGTTAGACCCAGGATGGGGTCGTTTACTTTATTTGGCTATTGACTTTCCTATAAATACAAAGGTGATTTATAATACATCTCTGGTAAAAAATATTTTACACTAACCCTTATAAATTTAATTTCATTTATTCCGTGATAATTCTATAAACTATCTTCTACGCTATGCTTTTGGGCAAGGTTACTGAGAGTTCCGTTAAAGGAATTGATGTTGAGAGAAATTTTGGGAATTTAAAAGGAAATATTTTTTGGTTTTGAGAGAAATCTTTCTGATGTTATAACTGAGCTAGGCTCTCAGTTAAACCCAATATCTTCAATAGTCAAGGCTTGGAAGCTAATCTCAGCAATAATTTTCGAAATCTGGACAACTAAAGCTTTATGAAAGTCTAAAAATCTCAAACAAATACAAAACAAAATTCAAACAAAATTCTTTATTTACAATACAAAATCCAATGGCAAAAACAAATTTTTACAAAGCAAAAGATATATACAAGTACAACAACAAAGTGAATTTCGGATATGGAACAATCCAAAAGGGGCAAACATATATAGTTGTACAGAAGCATTATTTATCGAAACAAGTATCGAACATCTATCAAGTTGTCTGCCATACACAGCTATCACTACCTCATGTCGACGAGAGAAGAGCACTCATGTCGCAGCAACAGGCACGTCCAGTTTGAAGTCACCAGATGAGCCCGGCGGGAACAGCGCTCTCGCATCAGCAGCATCAGGAGGAACCGTCGTGAAGCAGATTTCGAGGCGATCATCAGCCTTGGGAGGACCGGGCTGTAAATGAGAAAAAAATAATTTTCGTTTACATAAATTGCGGCTGTTTTTACATACCAGCCTGTCGACGGTGATCGTTGCAGCAGAATTGGGCTCCACAAACCCGAAGACCGGATTGACGCGGTAGTGTTCGTTGTTGCTCGATCTCAGCTTGTAGGCGAAGCGTTGCTGAAAAACAAAAGTTTTATTAATGATATGCCGAAAGCGTTTTAAAAGAAAAAAAGTACCTCAAGGCCAGCGTTGATGAGCTTCAGCGCGACGTTGCCTCCTCCTGCCGGTAGCTGCACACTCGGTGGGTCGACTTGAACTGCCATTGCGATGGTAGAAGCGGCTGATTTGAAGAAGTTGACACTGGTGATTGAAGTGTTGAGTTGGTGAGTTGGAATGGCGGAGTTTTTGCTGGTTTTTATAGTACCATACCATAGATACCTTGAAGGATTACATAATAATTATTTAATTATTTCTTAAAGTTCAACTTCAGTAAAATATTCTCCCCTCCTTTATTTATCTCAAACACTTAATTATGATTTTAAATAGGTTTTGATTGAATTTCAACCTGTTACCAGTTTCCGTCTTCAACACCCTTCTCCTCTTGCAGTTTTAGTTTTTGAGTTGAAAGATCAAAAAGAAACAAAAACGAAAATTCTGAACAAATGGACAAATCAAGGAAACCAAAAACGTGAAAATTTTGATTTGGTCGAATTTATGTTGGAATTGGGACTTGAAAAGAGTTTAATTGGATTAAATTGGGCTGTGATTAGTGCTGATCCATTTTCTATTGAAAAGGAAAGACTTGAAGGATTACATGATAATTGTCATTCACTAATAATTCAAAGTATTTTGAATATTTAAAAATAATTAAATCTTAAAAATAATTAAGAATTAATTACTGATCAACGTTGGCATTTTGTTCAAACTTTTCCAGTTTCAACGGAAATGGATTCTTCCCTCTCTGTTTCATTTATCCAACAAAAGGGCATTTTAAATGCTTGTTGTCATTTTTTAGAGAATAGGTTTGAAAAAAGAAAATTTTAGAAAAATTTAGAGAAAATTTAGAGAGGATAATCAAATCTTTCTCGATCCTCTAGCTGATTTACAAATACCAACAAATGCTCTTCGAAACGGTCTTCCCTCTGTTACATCAATGAGACCCATTGAAATGAGTGGAGAACCTGCTTATCAAAGGGCTTCACGCCATTATATTGGTAGTTTTGAATTCTTGATTAATTCAAATTTCAAATTCTCTTTGACTTTTGTTGTGTGTAAATTATATAAAAAATAATTAATTAAACTATTAAAAATGAGAGAAAATTAAATTTAAAAATTTTTCTCTTAAAGTTTTTCGTGACGAACGTTTTTCACTTATGTTAATTGATCCTAATGGCAAAAAACTTTATTGGTTAATTGTTGATATTTCTGCAGAGGGATTAAATAGCGGAAATTTTGCAGATTCAATAACTGTAGCTAATTATATACCTCCAATACCAGACAAACCTGGAGAATGTTTTTATGCTGTTTTTATGCTTTTTCGGCAACCTAAAGCAGTTGTTGAGCCTTTGGCTGATTTTTATGATTTTAATCATCCATTGAGGCAAAACGAATGTAAAGAGGAATTATGTGAATATAGGTAGTAAGGGAATAAAAGAGATTTTTTGAAATTAAAATTTAAGAATGGATTTTGATATAGAACAATTTAAAGCAATCCATAGACTACAATTCTCTGCAATTAATTGGGCTAAAATATGTTTTGATTTATTTGAAGCAGCCCGACAAATTTCAATAATTAGGAAGAGACCGGAAATAGCTGAGGGGATTGACAGGACAGCCAAAACAGGAGGAAACAGTAAAGGAATTGATAAAGGAAGAAAAATAGATTTTTGGTAAATATGTATATTAAATTTTTCTAAATTATTTTAATTAATTTTGGAGTCGTAATAAAAATTTTTTAGCAATTCTTAACTAATTTTATTTCTAGGAACTAGATTTCTTTCGTTTAAAAATTACTACAATTTTTTCACCTAGGAAATAATATCTCCTATTTTAGTTCTTATTGTTAAGTTTTTAAAAAAAATATTTAGAGATTTGAAATTGTTTAAAAAAATATTTAGAGATTTGAAATTGTTTAAAAAAAATATTTATAATCAAATTTTAATTTAAAAATTCCACTAAAATTTCAGGAATACAAAAACAGACAAAGCACAACAAATAGAAGCAATATGTAAACATTTTCCCGCAAATTTAAACAATAAAAATAATTATCAGTCAGAATGTTTAATAAATGAATATTTAATTACTACAACATCATCAGCTAAAGGGACATTTTCTAAGAATAGAATTTTATTAAATTTAATTGTTATTTTGATGTTTTGGTTATTAATTCAGAGAATAAGAATTGATAGATGAAGTAGAAAAAGAATTTAGATTTTATCTTAATTTGATTTTTTAAATTTATCATTTCTAGATAGCTCTAATTCTTTCAACTTTCTGATACGGGTGTTCTTATATATATTTTTCTTTTTTTTTAATTATGTTATTTATTTTAAAATAAATATGAATTATAAATATAATTATTCTAAAATAATTCAAGTCATGACCTGAATAGTCATGACCTGAAGCTATCAAACGATCGAACATTTTCTAATAAATACTTGTTAGTTATCCATGGTTTTTGTTCAATGGGATGAATCCAGGATGGGACGCGAATCCAAGGTTGAACGAATCCAAGAGCAGCCAAATTTTCTATTGAAACATATTCAAAATTTTCAAAATTACTTCGAAATTTTAAATCATCCGTCATTTCCTGATTTTTGATTTTAATATTAAAATAATATTTTTTGTACATTCACAATTTATTCTTTCATTTCCAGCTGTCTCTGTTCAATCAACCAAATACTAATTTAATTATACGAAAATTGATGAAAAAAGAATAGAGACAAAAGTAGTTTGTCTAAATAGTTGATTTACTTAAAGTAAACACATTTTTTCATTCCTCGCAATTCTGAACAGACATTGATTTGTTAACTTTTTTTAAAGGAAACAATTAATTCTTCTTAACTAAAATGCCATCAGTAAGGCAAAAAATAAAGGATCAATGGGAAATTTTGAGTGATAAAAATGGTTAGTTATTTAATTATTTAGCAGGGATGTGCCGGAACAGATTTCAGAAAGCAAAACGCGAAAGTCCAAAAAACGCGAAAATCCGCGAAAGGCGAAACTGGCACGCCCCTGATATTTAGTATGTTATGTTCGAAAGTTTACCTAAGCTTTAGAAATAAAGGTACAGCTCTTGTTCCCAATTATTTTCTCAGTATTTTTGAAAGGAATCAAACAAAGGGTTTCTGTTTTTTATTTGTGGATAATAATTTCTAGGCATTGTATTTTCTAGGCATTGTATAATTTTAATAAACTCAATGATAATTAATTTAATATAATTTTCACTTTTAGCAATACAATTCAAATGGCCAGGAGATTGCCCTTTAGAAGTTCGAGAATTGGTTGGCCCAGAAAATTTTGACTCATCTAGTCCCAACTATACAATGCCATTCTTTTGGAGAACAGATGCTGTTCTAGCTACCCGAAGCTGGTAATTGGTGATTAGAATAATTGTTAAATTAAGTGTGATTATTTTAAATTTCCAAATGATTTACCAAATATTTAAATGCAAAAAAATAAATTTATTAAACAAATTAATTAATTAAAGGGCATTAATTGTCTGTGCTATAGAATGTGCTTTTGGTCTAATTTGTCTGTTGGTCAATTTACTACATTTTGGTCTTTACTTACCTAGACATTCACCTTCCTCATCTTCTGTAGTTTTCCCATCTACAGTTCTTCTAATTACCCTTTTTCAACTCTGTATTTTCTACTCCTTTAAGGCAAATTTTCAATTAAATTTTTAAAAAATTATTTATTTCCCTCAAAATTTCCAGGTTTTATTTATTTTTGCTATATTTAGAAGTAATTCTCAATTATTACGTATTCAATTAATATTTCAATATGTTACTTGTGTTTTTCTACTTTTAAATGCTTCTTTTAGTTTAGCTGCTGATTTTGGTTAGATTCGACTGTTTTTAATTAAATTTGATTTTTTAAAAGGTGGTTATGATGAGGAAAGAATTTATGCAAAAAGAGACCCTCTTCTAATTCGCTTTTTGGGATTTCTTTCACTTGGATTTTTGTTTGTCCAACTTTATTTACGTTTAATGACAATACCCGTATATAAATTTTTGAGAGATTTAAGAAAGTTTCGTTATGCAATTTATGCATCAAAGTGGAGGTATCGAAAACGTGTTTATTTTACTTATTGTTCTCTAATGATGGATAATTTACTTGCCGAAAGTAAAAAACAGAAAAAGAAAAAGGTAGAATTAAAAAAAATCAGATTAGGCTAGAAAAATAGAACTCGCGTCAAAGACCCCCATTTTCGAGTTTTTTAATCTGTGCTATCGAATTTGATTTCGCAATAATTTGGAAATAATAATTTGGAAATATAAAATAATCACATAATCGAACAATCTCGAGCAGGAGCTTCCGTAACATATCAATTTAAAACAATACAATTAAAGCTCTTCTATTAATATTCCTTTAAGAAGCACGTAGATGGTGATGATCAAACTTTGCTAACGTCAGATGAAAACAGTAGTAGTGGGACACTTTTAAATGTAGTTGTACCTACTTTGACTGGACCAGCAATAAAAGAATCAAAAAAGAAAGAAAAAGAAGAAAAATCAGAAGAATCAAAAGAATCAAATTTATCCCAAGAAAAAGAAGAGATTATTATGGAAAATGGAGGGTTGGAAGCAAAAAAAGAGAAAGATGATGATGAATTATCTTGGCTTGTACCTGAAACGAAGGCTCAGAGAAGAGAGGCAAATTAATTTAAAAATTAGAAAATATCCGGTTATTGTAAGATATTAATGAAGTTAATACTCGATAACATTTACTCCGAGATAAACCTGATAGCTACAAGAAACTATTTCCCTTTTAGATAAGAAAGTCATAGTAGAAATACGGTTTCTCATAAATTTGGCTAAGAATTTCCATTAATAGTTAAAGTTTATTTAAAAATATGCCACAATTTTAATTATATTCTAACATTTATTTAAGGCATTAATTGAAGAAAAAGTAATAGATACAGAAGTACAAGTAGTAGATGAAGGTACTCCAAACACAATTGGATCACCAAATGCTTCTATACATGAAAGATTTTTAGATGAAAGTGAAGTAATTAGGTGTATACAAAAAGAATTAAATAAAAAAGCAATTGAGGAGGGGAAAACAATTGAAAATGAAGAAGAAGAAGAAATTTATGAAGAAGAAAATAATGAGAGAAAGGAATTTAAAAATAATTTTATTGAAGAAAATAAAGAAAAATTAATTAAAATGCCTGGACGTTTAATGAATAAAATATCAAATTATAAAAATGAAAAATATCCTGGAAAAAGTATTAGACAGACTGTTGCTGGCTCTTCAGAGGAAACAGAGTATTTTAATTTTTATTAAATTACTTTAAATTTTGAAATAAAGTCAAGGCTGAAGTAAATTTTTTTAAAAACGGTGATCCTGATCGAAATAATTATTATTATCATAACCAGTCCTCGAGAACTTTAACCGAATTATAGTTAATTATAGTTAAATGTTAATTTATTCATAGTTCATTTTCATTACTAAGAAACAAATTAATTTAAAAGGTAACCAATTTAGAAAGATTTCATGCTTATCAAAATCATTTTTTAGAGCTAAGGGTTAATCGGAATAATATGTCTGAAACCCTTCGAACAATGAATAACCAAAATTTTTTAAAATCAATCAAAAATTAAATATGAATTTTGAAATAAAAACGAGGGACTTCGAATATACCAACAATATATTTAATTATTTTTTAATTTTTAAAATAAATATAAAAAATATTTTTCAGTTCTAGATCAACATATACAGATGAATTACCTACAAATAGCAGAATCCAAGAAGTAAAGTCTCGCTATGTAAATGAAAAACTACTAACTCGACGTCCTTCCCCTAAGAAAATGCCAATAACAATTCAAACAAAGAAAAAACCTGGGGACTTATTTTCGGTAAAAAGAACAGTTAAAGTTCAAGTTGAAATGACTCCAGAAGAATTGGAAAGTTTAATGGGAAGATCACAAGGAACGATAACAACACTTGAATGGGATGTAGAAAATAATAATAAATAATTTTGATTAATTTAAATATTTATTTTTTAATTTTTATTTTTAGAAATTTTAATTTACTATTTGTTTTTATTTTATCAAATATTAAAATAAAATTTTACAAAAAAATTCGTTACAAAATAAAAATTAATATTTATATTTAAAGATTTTTACGTAAGATCATTCATTAAAAAAGCGTTCACTAAAGTGTTCAAGAACCAATTTTTTATTACCAACTTTCTTCTTACTTAAGTAATAAAAACTAAATAATAATTTATTTCAACAATTTTGGGAGAATATTTTTTATTAAATATTGGCAATTAGTATAATTTTTATTGGAAAATTTGTGCACACAAATTTATTTAGAGAATATTTTTGGTTAAAATTTATTATTTTTTTGGTTAATTTTTTTAATTAGCCGATAATATATAAAATTACTAATATATTTATATACTATGTAGTATAATCTCAAAATTAATTTAATATTTTTTCATAAAAAAACAATTTTCATCAGTTTATTAATTCTATTTTAATTTTTTTAAAATTACAAACTATACATTTACATACATATGTATTTAATGTAAATATCAATACAGTACTAAATTTTAATTCTTATTTAATGATAATTTATTTGTTTTTGAAAATGAATGTGAAAGAAAGAATTTTATTTTTTAAATTATTTTAGAAGGATATTAAATAGAAAATTGAAAATTTATAAAGAGAATTTTCTAAACGTTTTTTTATTCTTAAATTTAAAAAATGGATCGAAATAGGGGATCGACATGATTGCGGATGTGGAGTGGATTTTTAAAATCGAATTGCTTCGTTTGCATAAAATTTTTTGTTAAACCGAACTTTGATTTTAATTAGTTGTAATTAATCTAAAATTTATTTACTTCATTTAATCATCTAAAAAATTGAAAGTCATAAAATTAACCAGAAACCCCAAATAATTTAAATAATAATTTAAAAATAAAAGTATATATTTTAAATAGTTTGTATTTTGTATTAATAAAAGAAACAAACTACACATTGAAAGTGATAAGAAATGTCTCCCTCGCCCTGTTAAAATTTTTAAATAAAAGGCTGGAAATGTTCACAAATTTTTTATTAAAATAATTTTTTGATTAATTAAATTCTGACAACCTTCCTTCGAATATTAAAATGCAGATAGCTTTATTATTTATTATTTTTACCTCTATTTTAATGGTTAATATTGAAAAAGTTGAATGTAAGTAAATAATTATTAAGATAGTTAAAAATTATTTGAAAAAAATTATGGGATTATTTAACAAATTTATTTCTGAATATATATTTTTAAATTTTTATTTAATCTTTGGCACAAAAATTTTCCCTTTTAAGGAATATAAATTATAATCTAACATTATTTCCCTAATAATAGTCCTAAATCCACAATTTTGACAAAAACATTTTTAACATTAATCCTAGATTCTTGACAAGAGGAAAATAAAATAATTAACTAAATTTATATTTTTATTTAAATTATTTTTACAGCATTTAAAATCCTTGTTTCTGTTTCAAACTATTTTCATAGCCATATGAAATTACATATTGATATTGCTGATTTATTAGCCGAAAATGGGCATGAAGTTGTAAGTTTATAATTCCAAAAATAAAGTAATTCCTTTTGTTTTATTTTAAAGACTCTTTTAATTACAAATTTAAATCCTTACAATAATTATCCCCCTACAAACAACACAAAATGGACAAAAAGTCAAAATGTTATAAGACAATCAGCTAAAGGGGAATATCTACAAAAATTAAAAGATTCTTTTGACCGTTCTCCCTTTTATGATAGCCATGTTTGGACAGAAGAATTGGAAATTTATAGCGAGAAAAATGAATTATTTGTTAAAGAATTGTTTTTTGTTGGATGTATAGGTATAATATAAAAATTCGAAATAATTATTATTTAAATGGTTAAATATTTTAATTTATTTTTGGATAAAATAAATCTAAGTATTAATAGAGTTAAAAATTAATTAAAATTTCATTTTTATAAAATTTATTTTTTTCCTTTTTTAGCATTTTATGAAGACAAAGAACTTCTTGCTTCACTTAAATCACAAAATTTTGATCTTGGAATTACTGAATGGCATGATGGCTGCATGTTTTCAATGTTTAATCATTTGGGAATACATGCTACTGTCGCAACAAGTCCTATTCCTATGGATTTAGTTCAAGCTAAAATACTTGGAATTCCAATGCCCTTGTATATTCCAGGTTATTAGAAATTTTTAAAAATATTTTTTCATTAATTTCATATTTTGGATTAACGATATAATTCCGTAAAGATCATTTGAATAGAAAGTACGTACCAAACTGGTCATATTCTGAAAGCATAGTATTTTTTATTATTGGTATAGTTGACGGACACTAGAATTAAATAGTTCACTCAAATAATAGTTCACCTAATAAATAACCTTAAAATTTAATTCAGAAGTTAACACTGCTCCGCCTGAAGGAACTTCAATGGGTATTTGGGACAGAGCTCGAACTTTATACAATCGAATAGAAAACAAAGCTGAAAAATTTTTCTCAATGGACGATTGGTGTAAAGAAATATTTGGCCAAAATTTAATTCCAAAAAATGAATTATTATTGAGATCAGCATTCTTTTTAATTAATACACATGAAATGCTTGATTTAGCTAAACCAATTAGTGCTAAAATTAAACATATTGGTTTGTAGTTAAAAATAAATTTTGAAATTATATTTCTGCTTATGTCTCCTTAAGGTCATTCATTGCTCGATAGACATATAAAATAAATTAAAATTTTGTTTTCTAAAATTAGAATTTAGGCGGTTTTACTTTACAAAAGAATACACAAAAAATTCAATTGGATTCCAAAACAGAATTTCTCTTAACTTCAAGTAGCAAAGGTGCAATTCTTGTTTCTTTCGGTTCTGTGGCTGATCCGAGTCAAATGCCAAAAGAAATGTTTAATAATTTAATGAATGCTTTTGCTTCTTTTCCAGAATATAATTTTATATTAAAATCTAATGATAATGGAGAGAAATTAATTAAAAATGAGTCAAGTATTTCATTAAATAAAAATGAATATAATTTGCCTGAAAATGTTTACAAATCTGGATGGGTGAAGCAAAGGGCTATTTTGGGTAAGAAATTAAGCAAAATATTATAGCGAAAATATTATAGCCAAATGTCGATGGCCATAGTGTTTATCGAGTTCTGTGTTCTAATAAAAATTTGAATTTCTCCTTTAAATAATTAAAAATTATTTTTAGCACATCCAAAAACTCGCCTTTTCATCTCACATTGTGGTTTAAACAGTCTAAATGAGGCAGCATTTGAAGGTGTTCCATTACTTTGTATTCCAATATTTGGAGATCAAAATTACAATTCTGCTATTGTAAATCAAAGAAAAATTGGGAAAGTTTTACTTAAAAATCAATTGAATGAAAAGAATTTAAAACAATTTTTGGGTGAATTACTTGAAGAAGAAAATAATGAGTAAGTTTATTTAGTAAGTTAATTTTTATTAAATAAATCTTCTCATAAATCCTCAAAAGTTCTTTTTAAAAATTAAAAAAAATTCTTTTAAAAACCCTCAGTTTTAAAATTATCCTTAAACTTTAAGATACTCCCAAAATGCAATAATTGTTAGTCAAAAAATGCAGATGGCCCCATTCCAGCCCAAAGAAATACTTTTACGCCATGTTGAATTTGCGGCACAATTTGGTGGAAATTTTAGTGAATTAAATTTGGAGGGAGCTAAGATGAGTAATTTTAAATATTTTGGATTGGATATACTATTTTGCTTAGTAATTTTTGGAATTGTTGTTTTTATTGTTGGATTTAATATATTTAGATTTTTATTTAATAATTTTGTTATTTTAATTAATTTTAAAAAGAATAAAATTGAATAATATTTTTATTTAAATATTTTGAGACCATGAATAATCAGCTATTTTGAAAGTAAACTGTTTAATCCTTTAACAAAATTGAGTTTTTTAAATATGTATATTTATAAATTTCTTTTGATTAACTCGCAGATAGCAATCGCTACTAAAAATTCGTAAGAAAAATTATTTTTTTCAGAAAAAGTTTTTGAAATACCTATATCAAAATACTCAATAAATTTAGATAAGATATTTAATAAAATAATTATTAGATATCTAACTGAAAATATTTTAAATATAATTTAATTAAAAATATTATGTACATATGTATAACAGTACAATATTTTAACAAAAATAATATTTTATGATAATTTTATTATTATTTATATATATGTCCTTTCCAATTTGTCTATTTAGACAAAATTTAATGGCTTTGCCATTTTCCCACAAAATAACAAATTTGGATGTGCAAAAATAAAAATAAGGAAGGAAAAAAAGTTAAATAAACTAATCAAATAAATACATATATATTCAAACAAAACTTTTCCACTGGGAAAAGAAAAATCTCGACTATTTTGACTGGAAAAATATTTTTAGTTTTCATATTCAATTTGTCATTTTCTCATTAATTTATTTTATTTTTTCCCCTTTATTTTTTGTTGTCCAAATAATTTTATGAAGTATTCTAATACACGCAATATGTTGTTAATAAACAGATATTTTTTTCGAATTATTTTTTTAATCTAAAAAACAAATTTAAATAAAGAAATATTGAGAAATTCAAAATAATTTGGAATTTTCAAAATTAATAAATTCTCGATAAAAAATTAATAATTATTTTTTATAAAATATTATTTCTTCGACAAAAACAGGCCTTTTTTGAAAAAATTTTTGTACTAATTTGTAATAAAAATAAATTTACTATTGTAATTAAATTTAAATTGTTTTTATTTTCTATTTTTATTTTCCACAAATTTCCTCAGTTTTTATCTAATTTGTGTGTTGCTCTGTAAATAGTAGGTAGTATTAAAAGAATGACAGATGTGGCCTTTAATATATATTAGCTTATTTTCCCTTTTTTTATTTTTTACATTTTTGTGTGGTCTTCCGTTAAAAAATAAAAAAAGAATATCTTTAAT